GGGACTAGCCACTTTAATTAGACACTTCAAGTTCGCACTTAATAAGAAAACTTCATTACCGCTCGAGATGGAGCAAGGAATCGTCATTAATACCGTTAAAGGAAGCGTTTGGTTGAACGCCATTAGAATATAATGAAATGAAAGGGCATTTATTTAGCAAAATACATGCTGTTAGGAGAGGAGACATTTACCCAAGCTTGAGCAGATCCGTTTGCTTCAAAAATATATATCATCCATTACTGAAGTATGTTGGCGAAAAAAGAAGCTGCCTTGAGTGTAAAATTAAATCTAAATGTTTATAAGACCGTAATTTCTAGCTTATTTTCAACGCACTTGAAAAACATTTCCGCAAGTGGCACGTTTCTAATATTGGGCAACATTTAGTAAGATTAACTACGTATTGACACTGAACTGATAGTAAACGTGTTACCAATTCGATTAAAGGCCATGAAGGCGTCATAATCATTAGATTGGAATGAGATTGATCACTCTGTAATAATATAATAAGGTAAAAATATCCAAGTGTAATCAGCAAAGTAGACAGCAGTTAGCAAAAATAGTTTAAATTGATTGCATGGAATAAAATGTCGTAAACTGTTATAGTCACAATGTTACTATTTGTTGCTTAGGACCCTAAACCAATATATATTATTTTTAAAAGACAATCCTCTAAAGCAAATCATTGTTGATTGAACATAATAAAGTCATCAGTTCGATCAAATGTAATAAATGTTGTGAATGTAATAAAAGTGGATAATGTAGTTAGTTATTTAAATATTAATTTCCAGTTGAACTGGAATGGGTAACATAAAACGTATTTTAGGCCTGTAAATAATCCATATTAGGATTACTGGGAATATTGCATATTTTAAAGACTCAATTAATATTTATAAGTTAAGCAAATTAAATATTATATATATATGTATGTATTATTATAATTATATTGTTAACCTCGTTATATGACTTGCAATGCAGACCGATTCCAAAATTGATTTTGCATATTCTGTTTGATCTCTAACTTTTTTAGTGGGTTTCAATTTTACGACGATTTTGCTGCATAATTCCGCGAATGAAGCGCCGAGCTTGAGTTGTGAAGGTTAAAATCATTAGATTCAACATAAAACGTAATTACGTGTGTTTCAAAAACAGTCCATAATAGTTTCTTTAATTTAAAATAGAAATAGTTAGATTTTCTTATTTAATTATAGTTAAAAAATTGTTTTCTTTGTATAATAAAAGTTTACTTGTGTAAGTAGCATTTTCTTCTCCATCAGACCTCGGTAGGTATTTACTTGCTGAATATTAATGTAATCTTATATGACCGATGGCTGCTAAGTGGATTAAATATGGTTTTTTTGATCTCATTAACCCCGTTCTTCAGAATATAGCGTTTAGTGGCCGTCTAGTAGGCTTTCGCATCTTGCTTTAGCGTATAAATGTTGACCCACATAATAATAACAGTACTTTCTTTCTTAATGTACGAAAAATTACGTCAAACTAACTGGCAAAGAAATGGCCATCATGCACAGATTTACGATTATTTTAAAATTCGGTAAATAACGTTTTTAAAGCATTTTGAACTACATAAATTTTGTCAGTGTATTCTTGTATTAATGGATCATTGAGATAAGCAAATCGAGCACTTTTTTCCAGTGAACCAACAACTAACAACGGAATTAGAATTTTTTTGCCACTCTTGGCACAATTTCATATTCTACATGTTACACATTCCCATCTCCTCCTTGTAAAACACCAGGAAAGTTTCCGTCAGCAACAGCAGTTTCAAGGGTAGGTACAAAGGCACACAAGCTTCCTGACTTTTGAGTGGTTATTGAGGGCACAAGGGTCGAGATTTCAATTTCGGGTATTCATATGGATCCCGAGTACTATCCTAATCTAAATGTTTTTGAAATGAAATGAAAAAGCGAAAGCCAGCAGACTAGAATATCAATTTTTACGTACAAGACGCACACTTTTGTATTGGCAACAATACTTCAGATGGCAAAAGAACGGTAATTGCTGGTTTATTAAAATAATTTTGTATTTGGCGTAAAAAAAAATTTCTACAAATTCCATAATGCAGAAGCTATAACTTTCGGGAATTAACGTGTACCGTGTGTTTGATATTTTGGAAATATTTTTTTCTAAATATCAATTTCTTATTCCTCAAAAATATCATAATTAGGCAGTTTGCGGGATTCAATACGATATTTACCTTACGCTGTTTAACTGCCGATCTCTGCTTAAACTACGTTCATGATTTTGAAAAACTAAAGCCTTTTTCGGAGAGAATTGCCCAATGGAACAAAGTTCTTAATAAAGCTTCTTATTTGCAGCACTCAATGAAATTTACCAAAAAAAACACCAGTTTAATATTCTAGTTCTCTTCCCCGTTCTACTTTATTGTGAAGACTTGGCAATTCAGAAACCAATTCAATTTAGGATTAATTCTAGTTTTTAATCGAAAATCGCCGTCTCTATCTCTTAAACCGCGATTCACCAAATTTATATCAATCTATTATGCAAGTTAACAGCAAATAAAAACCTATTTCATGTTCGCTGCTGAAATACATGTAATCAAAACACCGCGATTAATAAACTCATTGTTGATCAACCAGATGAGCGCGAGCAAATTACTCGAAACATGATAGCAGAAGCAGAATGAATAGGCTAATAAATAATTTCTCGCCTGCATGTATTCATGTAGACTTGGGTTTTATTTCAGTCTCAATTAGAGGGACGCATTATTTCTGTAGCCTCAAGGCTTCAGTCGCTGTAAAAGCATTTGTCCTGCAACTAGTTATCTAAATAATTAATTAGCTTTCTCCAGAATACAGAAACATTGTTTATCACTTCCAGAGAAGTTTATTGAGTTCAGTTCAAAACCGTCCGCCAGTTTCGTTCTTATTAAATTCCGGCTAATAATGGATTTTATGATTCTATTATGTAAACTCGTGGGCTGAAATAGAAGAGAACTCATATTTTAAGTTTGGAAACTTTGGACGAAAGTTTCCTCCTCGAAAGTAGTTCGCAAGCCAGCACTGCAGAAAAAAGTGAATGAGATTTAATTAATTGTCCACGGCCAAAAAATTTGAAAACCACTGTTCGATCACTATCACGAACGCGAATACGAATTTCTCATTTAAAACCAACTCCAGTGAGTGACTAAAAATTACATCTTATCTTAGACACGGGCTTCTCCGTTTCTCAGGTACTCATTACATTTACATGTAAAAAGTACATTTTAATGTTAGCTTTCGAAACAATACCTTGATCGTTATGGGTACTTATTTGATAACGTGACTATCAATGTCAGGAGCAATAAATAGGCACACAATCGACTTAAAATTATCAACACTTTTCGAGTATTTTTGAATGCATATTTATTGTCGCAAGCAAAATCAGACCAGAAGAGCCATCGGGATAGTCGAAAGGGACAAAAACTTTGTAGCGTACAACGGGTGAACAAAAGGCAGCTTTATTTGCTAGCAAAGTGCCTGTACGACCCACTTGGAATGTCCCGGTCCAACCAACGATACTTTTCAGTAGCATGACAAAGTATTATTACTAAATCCGAGTTTATGGGCAATGACAGTCGAAAGTATTATGAAAACGTGTTTCGAAATCGTCATAAAGTACCAAATTGCCTGCTACCGGGTTCGAAGGCAAATAAATTAGTCGTCAAATTATATGGGGTGACCCGGATAATAATCGGTATGTTCCTGCAATTATCCAAGACATAACAAAAGGACCTCAGTGACCCGAAGACGCTTTTTTTGACTAATCGAATCTATTTCGGCGTTATGTTGATTCGTTTCGGGACCCCCGTAGATGTTCAACATTTAGCTCATAAAAATCGACGTGTTTTGCCGATGTCCTTGTCTTGGCAATTTTACTCCTCATTTATGATACGCAATAAAAAATTGTGCAACTGTAATTATTCAAGAGACTATTAAATGCACACGGAGTCTGCTTGGTAAAACATGTGCTGTAATTTAGCATGGAATGAAATTAGCATTTGCACAAATGCATGCCAAGGCTTAAAGCAGCAACAACGCTACACATAAAAACTGATGATGGTGGAAAAATACACCGAAACGTATTTTGATTAATAAATAGAGACAATAAATGACTGAAACCCAGGAATAAATTTGATTTGGAATTGAAAGACAGCCAGGAAAGTATATACCAATATTTAATATAATTCTAGCGCAAGACAAAAGGTCAGACAAAATATGAACAAAAATGTAACATTTTTTTCCACTTTAGCATATGTTTTCTCTTTGCCTCTTTTATAATCTTCAATTGTTCGCGACTCTCTAAACTCTCCTTCAATTTACTTCTAACTAAACTTTTACTAAATAAATATTAACGTTTGTTTTGCTCGTAACGTTATTGATATTGTTAAACACGGATAGGAAATCAAAGATTTGGAAAACAGCAACAAAACAGTAACCATAAAGACATTTCCTGCCATGTAAAGTTACATATAATTTAATATTTCATTTAGTATCTTGTTAGCAGTAACGATACATAAAAAGTAGCAACGTTCCTTTGAATTTGCTGTCGATCTGAAAGGTGCAATTAGTCAGAGAGAAGCTGCAACTTCAATTTCTTTCAAAATTAGTTGCATTCTACTACTTGATACAGATCATTTAATACTGCACTTATTTCCTTTGGACTTTTTTTGGCTATTGATTTTTCCCAATTTCAATACCTGGCAATATTTTCCGTTTTAACCCAACAAGCATAGTTCATATCAAACTCTCCAATGACGAAAATGCAGGCAAAATTCGACGGTATTCAACCGAAAACTACCCGCATTAAGCACATAAGTGTTTCGTCCGAAGGTTCAAATATGTCAGAAAACAGATTCTGGAAACAAACAGCCGACCAACGACTTACCGAACCAGATGAATGTCAAGCAGGCGTAATTGAGTTGATCAACAACTTTGAAACATGACTCTCCAATAATCGAATCAGTATTATTCAGCAATTCGCGATACTTTATATCAGTGAGGAGGACTTCAACTTGAGATTCAATATCAAAGTGGTAGTGAAGCGAACAAGAACAATGGCGTTTGGTCTAGCCTATGTAGTGATCGGTGTGATTTCGTTTATTATTTATGTGAAATGGCGTCAATCATATTGGAAGAGGAAAGGAGTGCCCAGCTCAGACGCAGATTTTCTATTGGGGGATAATACGAAGATTTTCACAAACCAAGAATCTTTGGGAGAAATCTCCGTTAACAGGTACAATAAGTTCAAGGCACAAGGCAAGAAGCATGCAGGCTTTTACAACTTTCTTCAGCCTGTCTACTTCCCGCTGGATACAGACATTATCAAACACATCATGCAACAGGACGCGAATTACTTTGCTTCCCATGCAACTTACAACAATCCAGACGATGTCTTATCCAAGCATCTGTTTGCCTTGGAGGGTGAACGTTGGAAGGACCTACGGGCGAAACTGACTCCTGCCTTTACATCAGGAAAATTGAAAATGATGTTTGAAACTCTAACAAATAAAACCGTCGGTTTGGAAAACGCGGTTGCAAAAATGGTGGACAAAAAAGAGGCATTCGTCCTCAAAGAATTTCTGTGCAACTTTACCACTGATGTGATTGCCAGCTGTGGCTTCGGAATTGAATCCGACTGTTTGGGCGATCCAAATGATGCCTTCAGAAGAGCCGGAAAAAAAATATTCGAACCCAGACCATTCAAACTCGCTTTACTCAGTCTTTTCAATTGGGATTTTTTGGCGAAACTTGGATACAAACATTTTCCAAACGAATTGACAGTTTTCTTTACAAACGTGGTTACCAGTACTATCAGGCACAGAGAAAATAATCAAATATTCAGAAAGGATTTCATGCATTTGCTGCTTCAGTTGAAGAACCAAGGAGTGCTTTCTGATGATGATAAAGTTACCGGCTCCGGTAACGGAAAAGGAATTATATCGGAAAGCGACATTATTGCCCAGTGCTTCGTCTTCTTCATTGCTGGCTTTGAAACTTCCTCTAGTACCATGACTTTTACTATGCTGGAACTCGCTCAACATCAGGATATTCAAGACAAATTGAGAAAGGAAATTTTGGAGGTTTTGGCGAAACATGATGGAAAAATCACTTATGAAGCTGTAATGGAAATGCCCTATTTGGACAAAGTCATCTCTGGTAAGAATCGATGCTGTTTACATCGTTATGCTAAGGTTTTTACGGAAGAATCTGCCCTTCTAGCACAAGTGTATTTTTTAGCATTTTTTTGCCTTTCTTCATTCACAGTTGATACAGTTTGGAAAAGTTGCCAACCTAAAAAGCGTATTCATTTCTCTGACCTAAAAAAAAATTCCTAATTCGCAAAGTAACAAAAAAATATCGCTAAATCCGGTTTAATCATTTACTTAGTTTTCTCGATTTAAATATTTATTTGTTGTATATTAGAGGCCTTAAGAAAATTCCCACCTCTACCCGTCATTCCACGACGATGCACTAAAACGTACAAAGTGCCCGGAACTGATTTGGTATTGGAGCGGGGCACAGATGTGCAAATTCCAGTTTGGGCCATCCAGAACGATCCTGAATATTACGAGAATCCAGAGGTTTTCGATCCAGAGCGATTCTCAGAAGAAAACAAAGCGGCCAGGCCAGAATACGCTTTCTTTCCTTTCGGTGCTGGACCTCGCGTTTGCATTGGTAAGATATTTTAATGGTTTTTCAATCGATCCTGAAGATTAAAACAGTTTGGCTTTTGCGGTCATTACTTGAAACTATCCTGAAAAACTCGCCTAATCCTGAAGACTATTTGAATGTTTGAAAAACCTTTGCAGATATAAAAGAATACTTTAGTGCATTTTAACATTTTGCTATATATGACTTTTCCATTAAACGATTTTTTTCATTTAAATTTTCGTGAGTTTGCCATTGAATTTTTTCAATTCAATTATATTTCCAAGTTATTAATTTATCTCACGCAAAAATTACTCTCATTCACTTCGTAAGTATACATTTTTGGGTCAAAAGATAAAAAATAAAATATGATTTAAGTAAACTAAGCACACATGTTGTTAACGTGGTACTGAGTCCTTTTGCTTAGTGTGTGTTTATGAAGGCTAATAAATAAGTAGTTTTTTCTTGATGTTTCTTTAACAAGATCGTCGCTTTCATTTAAAGTCCTTTTGTAAGTATCTGGAAAGGTTTTGAGAATGAAAGTTTTTGAACATTGATAATGTTATTATGGATCATTTTTACAATTGCCCAACTGTTTCATTCAGTTTTTGCCGATGACTACTCCATTACATTGAACATTTAAGTGATATCAAGTTGAGCACTTTACGCGATGAAAACCCAATGCGTTGGTCAATTAAATTTGATTAAAATATCTCACAACTTACCAGTTGGACGAGTTATTTTTTAAAATATTTTTCATTCGACTCTACAATTGAATACTTCAACAAAAACCAGTTTAGCATTGTAACTTATTTATCAAATTATTATACCCACATATTTAGGATTCATTGGAAATGTTTTAGGCTTGAGACTTGGCAAACTTGAAACTAAAGTCGGATTAATTACGCTGCTGAGAAAATTCAAGTTCACCATCAACAAGAAAACGCCATTTCCAATTCAGATGGAGAAACGAGGATTTATCAGCACCATCCAAGGAGACCTTTGGGTCGATGCTGTTAGAATATAAGGCATGTGAACTAAGTATTCCTGCGGCGTTATTACTGATATTTTTAATATTTATTCCCGGTTGTGAACATATTCTTAATTTGATAGGCATTTATTTAAACTGATAAGACAAAAGTTGCATTATTAGAGAAATAAATGTTTTTAAATAAATACTCCTTAACAGCATGCTAGATGGATAAAACAACATATTTGTTTTATAGTGGTTCTTATGATTCATTTACCCTTCCTTCATTTAATCCTTTTCATTATTATTATTGATCTTGTTGTCTATTTACATTTAAAACGTTGGAGGAACTAATTTGGATGCTTTGTTATTGAATATTTGATGAATGTTCTTGGGTTTTTTGTGATTTCCAAATTTTCGAGTGTTCTGCCTGTCTAATAAATGCTGTTTTTCTTAATAATAATTAGAGTTTTGGTTTGTGTTTTTTTGTTCAACAAATCAATTTTTCATACGGTTTTTTTACCAGTCGTGTAATCAGTACTTGAATTTGCTTCAAATTTCCGAGATTGATTTGCAACACGGCTTGATTGCCTATTATTAACGTTTTTTGGCATTGTTTTTTAACTCATTCATCCCTATGTGTCTAAAACTGTACTCTTTCCTACTTTCCGCTTTCGTTTATTCCACACTACATGCCAATGTTGTACCTTTTTTCAGTTTTTTAAAGCAAAAAAAACATGGAAAACGTGTAGCAAAATACCATAAACTGTGTGGATTTAACTATAACATATTAAAGCTTGTTTCATTTTTACAAATATGTTCAAGATTTGCTGCAAAAACCGCTACATTTTTGTCCACTTCTGCAAAGGTTTTCCCCTTCTCTTCTCTGATCTTCAGTTCTTCTCGAGCAAACTACAAGATGCGTGGAAGTCTGAAATTGCTTTCCAAACTCCACTTCAACTTACCTCTTACTAAACTTCTACTAAATAAATATTTTTTTATTTTGCTCGTTTATCAATTGGTAAACCCGAGTAGGAAAACGAATATTTGGAAAACAACAACGAAAAGTAATCATAAAGTCGTTTTCTGCCATGTAAAATTAAAAGAGTTATTATGATTGGGGAGATGTGTGACAACTGGCCAAAAAACCCGGGGCCTCCGACTATTTTTTTTAATTTAGTGCCTTGCCACCTCAACTCGATAAAAGCAGTAACGATTCTTTGAATTTGAAAGGCGAAACGAGTCATCGAGAAGCTGCAGATTTCGTCTCTTTCGAAATTAGTTGCATTCTGCTACTTGCTTCCAATCGTTTAATACTTCACTGGTTTTCAAGACATATGAATTTTGTTTCCTAATTCTAAATCCTCAGAATTTTTTCCCGTTTTAACTCAACAAGCAAATTGCAAAAAAATCTCAAACTCTTCAATAATAAAAGTGTAGGCAACAAATTCAACGGCCTGCTCCCGAAAACGGCGAGCAGTGATAAAACTAACTACATTAAGCACATGAGTATTACAACTGAAGGTTCAAATATGTGTAATATATCATCATAAAACAAATTAACGCGAAGCAAACAGCCAACCAACGACTTAGCGAACCGGAGGAATTTCAAGCAAGCGTAATTGGGTTCACCAACTATACCTTGAAACATGACTATCAAATAATCGAATCCAGCAACTCGCAGTAGTTTATATCAAAGAGGAGAACCATTGAGATTCAGTACCAAAGCGGTAGTGAAGCGAACAAGAACAATGGCGCTTAGTCTAGCCTATGTAGTGATCGGTGTGATTTCTTTTATTATTTATGTGAAATGGCGTCAATCATATTGGAAGAGGAAAGGAGTGCCCAGCTCAGACGCAGATTTTCTATTGGGAGATAATACGAAGATTTTCACAAACAAAGAATCTTTGGGGGAAATCTCCGTCAAGAGGTACAAGAAGTTCAAGGCACAAGGCCAGAAGCATGCAGGCTTTTACAACTTCCTCCAGCCCGTATACTTCCCGATCGATACAGACATTATCAAACACATCATGCAACAGGATGCGAATTACTTTGCTTCCCATGCAACTTATAGCAATCCAGACGACGTCTTATCCAAGCATCTGTTTGCCTTGGAGGGTGAACGTTGGAAGGACCTACGGGCGAAACTGACTCCTGCCTTTACATCAGGAAAATTGAAAATGATGTTTGAAACTCTAACAAATAAAACCGTCGGTTTGGAAAACGCGGTTGCAAAAATGGTGGACAAAAAAGAGGCATTCGTCCTCAAAGAATTTCTGTGCAACTTTACCACTGATGTGATTGCCAGCTGTGGCTTCGGAATTGAATCCGACTGTTTGGGCGATCCAAATGATGCCTTCAGAAGAGCCGGAAAAAAAATATTCGAACCCAGACCATTCAAACTCGCTTTACTCAGTCTTTTCAATTGGGATTTTTTGGCGAAACTTGGATACAAACATTTTCCAAACGAATTGACAGTTTTCTTTACAAACGTGGTTACCAGTACTATCAGGCACAGAGAAAATAATCAAATATTCAGAAAGGATTTCATGCATTTGCTGCTTCAGTTGAAGAACCAAGGAGTGCTTTCTGATGATGATAAAGTTACCGGCTCCGGTAACGGAAAAGGAATTATATCGGAAAGCGACATTATTGCCCAGTGCTTCGTCTTCTTCATTGCTGGCTTTGAAACTTCCTCTAGTACCATGACTTTTACTATGCTGGAACTCGCTCAACATCAGGATATTCAAGACAAATTGAGAAAGGAAATTTTGGAGGTTTTGGCGAAACATGATGGAAAAATCACTTATGAAGCTGTAATGGAAATGCCCTATTTGGACAAAGTCATCTCTGGTAAGAATCGATGCTGTTTACATCGTTATGCTAAGGTTTTTACGGAAGAATCTGCCCTTCTAGCACAAGTGTATTTTTTAGCATTTTTTTGCCTTTCTTCATTCACAGTTGATACAGTTTGGAAAAGTTGCCAACCTAAAAAGCGTATTCATTTCTCTGACCTAAAAAAAAATTCCTAATTCGCAAAGTAACAAAAAAATATCGCTAAATCCGGTTTAATCATTTACTTAGTTTTCTCGATTTAAATATTTATTTGTTGTATATTAGAGGCCTTAAGAAAATTCCCACCTCTACCCGTCATTCCACGACGATGCACTAAAACGTACAAAGTGCCCGGAACTGATTTGGTATTGGAGCGGGGCACAGATGTGCAAATTCCAGTTTGGGCCATCCAGAACGATCCTGAATATTACGAGAATCCAGAGGTTTTCGATCCAGAACGATTCTCAGAAGAAAACAAAGCGGGCAGGCCGGAATACGCTTTCTTTCCTTTCGGTGCTGGACCTCGCGTTTGCATTGGTAAGATGTTTTAATATATGTTTCATACAACTCTACATTTGGGTACTTCGACTTTTCATATTATTATACCCTGATATTTCGGATTCATTTGAAATGTTTTAGGCTTGAGACTTGGAAAACTTGAAACTAAAGTCGGACTAATTACGCTGCTGAGAAAATTCAAGTTCACCATCAACAAGAAAACGCCATTCCCTATTCAGATGGAGAAACGAGGATTTATCAGCACCATCCAAGGAGACCTTTGGGTCGATGCTGTTAGAATATAAGACATTGAACTGGTGAACTAAGTATTCCTGCGGCGTTATAAATGTTGTTATTATTAATAATTATTCTCGGTTGTGAACATATTTTTAATTTGTTAGGCATTTAATTAAATTGACAAGCCAATCGTAGTATTATTAGAGTAGTAAACGGTTTCAATTAAATATTCCTTAATAATATGCTAGGCATTACATCATCTTATAAAGCATGGTATTATTAATCATTACATAGATAAAGTAGTCGTTTTTGTGAATGTTGTAATTTGTAATCCAATCAATCAGGATGGTTTATCTTATCATTAAAATCCCCATATATAAAATAGATAAGCGAGCTTTGCATTAGTTCATAATAGGCCGTTTCTTCCATTATGAATTTTCATAGCAAATTTGTTTTATAGTAGAATTTATGATTTATTTGCCTGGCCATGATCTAATTATGTTTATTATTTTATTATTGATTCTGTTGTCTACGTACGTTTTAAATCTCAGACGGACTAATTTGGATTATCTGTTGTTGAATAATCGAAAAATTATTTTCATTTCTTTTGATTTCTGTCTGATTAATAAATGCTGTTTTCTTCAGTTATTTTCTCTAGTCATTAATACGGATTTATTTTCCTGACTGCGTGTATTTGTTATGATATCAGAGACACAAATTTAAGGCTTCAAGAAGGCAAAGACCTAAAAGAACGTTGATTTGTGCCAATCATGAGTGTGTAAATTTGAAATCTGATGATGGCGCTGTTGTCTTGCCGAAACGTAATGAAATAAACGATGTTCAAAAATTTTTACTTCACACTTTGACTGAGACCCCAGGAATGATAAGAATATCTAGTCATTAAGTATCATCAGAAATGTACTTGAATTTGTTTGGAATTTCCGAGATTGATTTGCACCACGACTTAATATCTGTCGCTATTATTAGTGCTTTTTGGCATTATTTATTAACTCATTTGTTCCTGGGTGTCTAAAACTGTGTTTATCGATTTCTACAGTAATTTTTCGTTTAATCCGCATTACTTCCGAAAGTTGCATTGTTTCTCTAGTCAAAGTACCCTGGAAAATGTATAGCAAAAACCCTAAACTGTGTGGATTTAACCATAAAATATTACGACTTGATGGATTTTTAGCAAATATGTTCATTTTTCTGCAGATACCTAAACTCTCTTTCACTTTCTAAATGAAATAATACATTATGAAATTGAAATTTGCAAGCCATTGAAACATTGAAGTTTGGAACACAGTCATTTCCACAGTCACTAACCCAAACTAACTCAACATGTTTCGAGTGTATCAACCACTCATCATCAGGTCTTCAAGCAAGCAGGAACATTCAAGCAAACACTGTGGGAACATAGACTTCCACTTCATTCTTAAAAAAACTAAAAAACTGTTATACGCAACGTTGATATTTGCGATTATTCATTATCTAGCATGACAATTGAAAATAATATTTCTCATCAATTCCAAAGGTCAAAATCTTATATATACCCGTAAGCACATGATCGAAAAGGGTACTGCGATATTCTTTGGATCAAAAGAAGACGATCTAACTTTTATTAACAAAAAATGTCTGGTTCCTCTACTATCTATGGTCAAGCTCTTCAAAAAATTTCTCTTTTTTGAAATATCGGGAGAATGGTACGATATATTTTGGTGAAACTCGCTGTGATTCTATTCTTATGTGAGACTCATATTTTAATTGAACAATCGAGTTCAGTTGTTTTGAACAAGTGGTGAATTCTTGAGTGTCGTGGTACAAAAACGACCAGAACTTTTTAGTTGTTGGATTGAATCAACTCAATTTTTTTTTGGTTGATGCACTTTGCTCTTGCTTTTGTGCTCTTTGTAAAATCTTGAAGCATTTAAAGTTTTTGGGCAATAAAATGTCTGTTTTCTTGCAAGTTGGCTTCGCAAAACCCTAATACTTTGACCATGTTCTTCATTAGAGAAGGTTATTAGAAACGAATTTGTGAGATTGATTGACAATTAATTTATGCCTCGTATCACGATTTTGCAGTTAATGTTAATTAATAAATTGTTAAGTGGCAAGCAAACATTATAATTTTTTTCGCAAAAACTATGAATGCTACAAGATTTTACAAAGAGCACAAAATTGTGAACAAAAGTGCATCAATCGAAAAAAAATGAATTGATTTCATCCTCCAGCTAAAAAGGTTCTGGTAGTTTTCGTACCACGACACTCAAGAATTTACCACTGGTTCAAAACGGATGAACTCGATTGTTTCATAAACAATGAGTCTAACATAAGAACAAATTCACAGCGAGTTTCACTAAAACACATCGTACCATTCTGCTGATATTTCAAAATAGTTAATTTTTTTTACGAACCTTGACCATGAATAGCTGAGGAGCCAGACATTTTTCGTTAATAAAAGTGAGGTCAGATCGTCTTCTTTTGATGCAAAGAATATCGCAGTATCCTTTTGATCATGTGTTTACGGGACACCCTGTACATGTATAAAAACGACCCATTCGGAAGTAGTAATAAGCAGATATCATAGGCGACTTGCGAACCGTTTGATTCAAGAATACCCTGAGAAAATAATGAACTTTTATTTTGCAAAGCTCTAAGCAAAGAGAACGATGCACCTGCAATTGATACAAGAAATGTAGCCTGTTTTGAGTTATTTTATCAGTTAATGCAAATCATAGTTACTCAGCAATTTATAACTAAGTATAATTGGAAAGTTGGTGATGAGCTGAAAGCAGTTCTAATCAGATTATAGGCCTAGTCAATCGACTACAATGGTTGTAGCAATTTTGGTGATCGGTGTGATTACTTTCCTCATTTACGTTAAATGGCGGCAAACATATTGGACAAGAAGAGGCCTTCCAACGGCCAAAACCGAATTTCTCTTTGGGGATATGCGAAAAGCAATTACAGGCGTTGAACCACTGGCAGTAAGAACGAAAAACAGGTACAACGAAATAAAAGCTCTCGGCGTCAAACATGCAGGATTTTACATGTTTTGGCGGCAAATTTATTTCCCGGTTGATCTGCAAATTATCAAAAACATCATGCAGCAGGATGCAGACTACTTTCAATCGCATGGAGGTTATTACCATTCGGATGATGTCTTATCCACGCATCTATTTACATTGGAGAATCAAAGGTGGAAGGAGTTGAGAGCGAAACTCACACCCGCTTTTACTTCGGGCAAGATAAAAATGATGTTTGAAACACTGACCGAGAAAACTGAATTGCTCATTGACGCAGTGGGAAAACTAGCCGATGAAACGGAGGGATTTGCAATTAAAAACGTTTGTGGAAATTTCACCACTGATGTTATAGCAAGTTGTGGCTTTGGAATTGAATGCGACTCCTTAAACGAACCTGACAACGCTTTTAGAAACTTCGGAAAAAAGTTGCTGGTGCCAAACCTACTCAGATTTGCTCTGACAAATATTGTCAATTGGAACTTGCTGGTCAAGTTAGGATTTACCGGCTTCGGAAGTAAAACATCGCAATTCTTCATCGATTTGGTCAAAGACACGATAAAGCACCGGGAAGACAATGAAGTGTTTAGAAAGGACTTCATGCATTTGCTGTTGCAATTGAAGAATCAGGGGATTATTTCGGATAAAACCAACGTAAACAGAACAAAGTCTGAAGCAAAAGGGATTTTGTCGGAAAATGACATAATTGGGCAATGCTTCGTATTTTTTATTGCCGGGTTCGAGACGTCTTCAAGTACCATGACTTTTACCATGCTCGAACTCGCCCAGAACCAGGACATTCAGGATAAATTGAGGAAGGAAATCAAGGAAGTCCTGGCAAAACACGATGGAAAACTTACGTATGAGGCTGCAATGGAAATGCCCTATTTGGATAAAGTCGTGAATGGTAAGTAGGAGCCGAAACTTGCGTATAATTACTTATATATACTGGGCCAATTATAGAGGCCTTACGAAAATTTCCGCCGCTGCCATTTATTCCGAGAAAATGCACTAGAAACTACCAAATTCCCGGCACCGATGTAGTTTTGGAAAAAGGCACAGGCGTGCATATTCCAGTGTGGGGTATTCACAATGATCCCGAATATTTTCCCAATCCTGACGTTTTCGATCCAGAAAGATTTTCAGAGAAAAACAAAGCCAGCAGACCGGAATATAGTTATTTACCATTCGGGGCCGGCCCAAGAATCTGCATTGGTAAGTACTGGCTGTTGTTTAGATACCTTTTGACAAGTACAGTTTGCGAGTATAGTAAAATTTTCCTAGGTTTGAGATTTGGTAAACTGCAAGCCAAAGTGGGACTAATCGCTCTACTAAACAATTTCAAATTCACCCTTAACGAGAAGACGCCAATGCCCATCCAGATAGACAGGGGGTTTATAATCACTGTGAAAGGAAACGTTTGGGTGGATGCTGTACGACTATAGTCTAGTCTATGAGGGCGAAGCCTTTGCCTCTGCAAACACGCCATGAAAGAAATTAATTATAATAAGCAAATAAATAATTGAGAATGACAAAATCAGCCAAGGCGTGTATGACCTTCATCAGGTAATACGTAGAAAAATCGTCAAAACAACCATAAGTGTGCAACTTCAATCAGGATATGGAATGATAAGCTAATATTCAGACACTTTATAGTCATTTTGAAAAATCAACAAGCTTAGATTAGAAGCTGAAAGATAAATACAAAAAGGATTATTCGAGAATTGAAACAAAGAATGGAGGATTTTAAGCCTCCTTCTTGATTCTCGATTTTAGGCGAATCGCCTGTTCAATTATCGTTCACTTGCGTGAGGCTGTCGCTCCATCGTTTCCTGGGGCGCCCCAACGTCTCTTCGTCCCAATGGGGACTTGTCACTCACAAGTCTGCGGTGGTTTATCCTGTTTATGTGCTTATTCCATTCCGTCTTCCTGTTTGCTACCAATTCATTGATGTTCTTGACATTACAGGCTGTTCTGATATCCTCGCTTCTCTCTCTATCCAGCAGTGTCTTTCCGGTGATTCTACGGAGTATTTTCATCTCAGCTGTCTCTAGGAGTCTTTTGGTTTTCGCTGTTCCTGGCCTGGTTTCTGCGGTATATGGCATCACCGGTTTCACGACGGTTTTGTAGATCCTCGATTTAGTGTCTGTTCCCATACTCTTATTGCGCCATTGTTGTTTGATCTCTCACCTCTGCCTCAATATCCCCAAAGCCGGAAAGTTCCACGCCAAGGTAGTTAAATCTCATTTTCTGCTCGATTACCCTACCGTCAAGTTCCAGTTTCCATCTTAGAGGGGTTTTTGATGTTGTTAAGCATTTTGTTTTCGTCGGTGATAGTTCCATATTTAGAGACATGCCTGGCAGGTTGAATAAGTGTAATAACCTTTGTAAGTCATCTTCACTTTCTGCAATGAGAGCGGCATCGTCAGCATAACAGACTATTTTGATTTCTGCACCCCCCATTTTGTATCCCTTTAGCCCTCGAACACTTCGAACAATTTCTTCCACTATTAAATGGATAAGGGTAGGACTTAGGGAGTCTCCCTGACGAATACCGCTACCTGCTGGCATTGGTTCTGTGAGGTCTCCTTCTATTTGCGCTCGTATTTTATTGTTTGTATATATATTCTCTATGGTTTTAATGAGATTGTGTGGGATTTGCCTGTTGTAAAGGAGATGCAGGACGTCTTTCAGCTGGACACGGTCAAATGCTCTAGTTAGATCAATAAAACATTCAAACGCTGGCTTGTTGTATTCAATCGACTTCTCGAATAATGGTCTTAATACGAACACGGCGTCTGTGCACGATCGTCCCGATCTGAATCTCTGTTGTTCGTCCGCCAACGATGTAAGATTGTTGATTTTGTTCGTAATTACTTTAGTCGTTAGTTTAGAGCAGTGCTTAAAAGGTTTATTCCTCTATAATTTGATGGTATTTTCTTGTCCCCTTTTTTTAACATTAGCACAGTACTGCTGGTTCGCCATTCATCTGGGATTTTGTGTTGATATATAATTTTCTGTATTAAAGTTGTGTTCAAATAACATTTAAACAATGGATACAGTTATTGTCCAAGTTTACGTTTCAACGCTGAATTCCTGAAACGGTGCGCCCTTGTTACCGATTCCCGGGAAGGTCCCAAATCAGCCGTGTCTGGCGGGCCACAATTGGGAATCTCAGACACCCCGCCAAGCGGTACCACTGCTCGAATTGCATGGCAAGCGTGAAAGCCTTGATGCAATTGGTGATTGTTTTCGTTTCCAAGTAGTTCACTTAACAGAATGCACTATATATCAAATGTCTACTACAAAGGGCATTGTGAAATCAGAAGGGCAACCATTGATTATTGAACAAATTATTTTACTTTCTCTATGGCAAACACACAACTGTGCTCGGCTACTCTTTTCACTATTGAAAGTTTAAGTCCTTGAAACGACCACCCAACAGAGCCGAGCACAGAGCGTGGGAAATACCCTATTTCCCTCACCCTGCACTTCTGATTTCCTCCCTACCTCAGTCGAAAAACGTGACCAGAGATCACAGTTTTTCGTTTCACCTCAAGTCGTACACATCGGGAGTGTTTCGCCACAAAGCAGTACACATCGCAGACTCTGGAAGAGAAGTGTCTCAAACCCCAAACTCGTAATTCTCCACCCTCAAATCAAATCAGTGCTCAAGTGAACTAATTGGAAACAGTTCCCCACTCAATTAGAATTACGCCACTCAGCCCATTTTAAAGAACGTACAGCCCAGGCCAATTATAAAAAGTGGCAAAATAAACGTGTCGCCCGTGCAAGTTAGGCAGGCCCATACGAAATTGGCAGATTTTATTTACTCCTGCAACTGCTCTCAACGATACCCACCAAACACTGGCACCCCACACACATTGGTCCTTCGAATAGGAGAAAATTCCCCCCTATACTCGTGTCTGGCATTCCAAATTATTTATCCAAGTGAGACGAGTACATTTTGGTCCCACGAACTGGATTTGACCAATCTCAGAAAAGTGCTACCCCCAACATTTGGTCAAATGAGCCGGATCAGGTTGATCGTTGACGGTACAACTTGATCCCCCCAACAAGTTAATTCTTCTGTCAGTCTTTGCCCACCGTATTTGAGCAATTCATTTTGTATTCCGTCTTGCCCGGTGCTTTTTCTATTTCTTAGTTTCTGTAGTGCATTTTCTACGTCGGCTGTATTGATCGTGGCATCTTCGTTAATCGTTATTTCTGCCGAGTTTGTCGTTTCATACAGATCGGTTAAATATCTGATCCACTCTTCTTTTTTTATGTGGGTTGGTTCTAGCAGTTCGCTTATTATGAATCGCCATATTTTGAAGCCCGTAGATATCACCTTCCAGGCGTTTGGAGAACATTTCCCAGTGATCGTTTTTGATTTTTCTCACTAATTCTTTAGTTTTGTTCCTAACTTGCTTATATTCATTATATGATTCTGGCGTTCGCATAGTACAATATTTTAGGCAGGCTTTTCTTTTTTCTTTGCACTGTTCCTTGACTTCTGGGCGGGACCATGGTGTCTGGTGGTTGATTACTTAGTTCACTTTTACGGTTCGTTCTCCAAGTGCTTCTCTTGCTGAATTCCTGATTTTATTCTTAATTCTTTCCCAATCTAGACTGATGTCGTTAGTATTTAAAATCGGGTTTTCTTCGATTTTTGTTGTAATCAATTTTTGTATAGGTACTTTATCGTAGGGTCCCATAGCAGCTCAATATTGAGTTTCTGTGTTGATATCACCGGTCTTGGTTGTTTTGGTATTCGTATTTTCAATTCAATTCTTCCGAGTAAAAGATGACGATCGCTTCCTATATTTGCCGAATTGAGCATTCTGATTCGAGTATTTGGGTTGGGTAAAACTGCCTATTAGTCACAATGTAATCGATTGTAGATGTATGGCTTGATGACTATGTTGCCGGTCCTAAGACCGGATAAAGGAGGAAGGTTCCAGGGTCAGGCAGCACCTGGGTAAAAGAAACCATAAGCACACAAAAACGGATTTTACGCCCATAGTGACAATTAAAAAAAACCTGCGCTGCTGTTCCTCAAGTATTTATAAAATGGACCACTTTCACATTCTGGAATGCACTGATTCGTTTCGTGCTTTCGTTTTACCTTCACTAGAGGGATTATTTCCTTTCCACGACTAAACACTTTAAGCCAATTATTATTTTCTAAACTGTCCCAGCATTAGCTAACTGTTGTCGTTTAATCAAGTGATCTGAAAGTAACTCAATAATATGACTTTTTTTGAACTGGAGCGAAAATTTACGTGGAAAATTCCATGTTTTTTACCTAAAATTATCCGAATCAAATCAAATCAAAATATGAGTTATTGCCACAGAAAAATGTAAACAATTTCTTTGGACAATGCGAATGGTAAAAACAATAAAACACAAAATCATAATTAGCAGTTCGATAATTTCGCCCTTTCACAAACTCGGAACATTGGCTGAACCAAATTGCGTTTTCGCTATATAAGTAAGAATATTCTTAAAACCCTAACGAAAAGACAATATGTAAACAAGTTATCGAGTTTCCTTTGGAACAACAAAGAACGGTGTTTGGTGTAAAATTTAATTTCATTTTAAAGCTCCAGGGAAAGGAATTATGAATTTATAAATAACAAGCCACTGGCGAAAAGTACGAGTTCTTTTCGAGTGAAAACCATTTGGATCTTGAGTTTTATTCAATGGCAATTAAACAGTCCTAAACAGGGAAACTTACCTAAACACCTGAATGGTTTCACCCATCGGGCAGTTTTGCATTTGCCCCTGGATTGCGCTCCAGGTGTAGCTCCAGCTTTACACCAGGAACCGATTTTCAAATAGTGGCTGCTTTCTACAATGTTGGTTATGTCCCTTTTGGGATATACCTGAAAAACAATTAATTTCTCTCATAGCATAGAATGTATGAGGGAGTGGAATAAACGCCCGCATAAGAAAAACAAACAACAGTTAAAGGCGTGGGCAGAAGAAAAGGGCCGACCTGGATAACCGCAATTTTATTCGCTAGTAATTCAAACATGTCCACTAACTGATCGAGGGATGATGCTTTTGTTGGCTCTATCGGGGCTTCTTCTTCAACGCTGATTTTTCAAGTCAACGAGTTTTTTGCGTTATTTTCACCGCGAATTATTCACTAGTTTTTCGTAGCCTTAAATTGAATTTTGTCTATTATCTGATAAATTTTACTCTATAATATTCCAAATTTTCAAATCCAATTACAACCTAATTGCTTCTCTAGTATAGCGGCAAACTTTTATGTGCCCTAACGATAAAGACATTCAATTTACGGAAAACTGAAGTTTCCGTTGCAACAACCACTCAAGAGTTGACTTTCCAAGTGCCGCAAAAAATCCGTTTTCATTAGCTGAACAATACGGGAAATTTTCGGTTCGGATTTGTTCGGCTTGGCAAGAAATGAGCGGAGCCAGGAAATAAATGGTGTTAGAGCTTGAAATACAGTCGACATAAATTAATTCGACGGTGAATTACGTAGAGAACTCCTAATTTCATTTCCATTATTGCGACATACATCAAACAGAGCGAGTGCGAAAAGCGTATTGTATAAATTAGAACAAGGGATTTATTACTACTGAAAACTGCAAGTGGTGAGTAACCGCACGCCATTCCATTGCGCAGTGGAATTTTTATCGGATTAATTTAACAACGGAAACAAAGCCCTTGTACTGTATAAACTCATGGAAACCAGAACTAAACCCTCTGGTGCGCTCAGTTTGTATTTTTCGAGACAATTTCCCGCATAATCGGTTAAACAATTTTCCTTTCGCTTAAAGGCCCGATCCGCAGCCTTAATGCCCTCGGAAATATTTCACGAAAGAAATACGAGATATATAAAAAGGAAAAAAAAAACGATGCCCAGATGCGGTTTTCTTCGGTAAACTGGATGTGATTGATGAGTCGCTTAGGAACAGTTCGGTAGAAAAATTGTTGCGAACCATCGAGGAAATATATGTCGAGATGTGCGCAAAAACCCTATTCGAAGAATATTGTTTTCGGATTAATGTTGAAAAGTGGTTTTTGCAATGCTGATCAGTTCACAGCTTAATGCGAAAGTTTAATACAAAACGTGCAAAATCGGGCTTGCCCGTAATTGTTTTTTTAAACTTCGTATGAACTTATTTTTTACTTGGGGAGCTTAGTGATTTCTGAACTTGTTTGGTTTTACCATTAAAAGCTCGCTTAGTGTGTGGATATTATTGCAACGAGTTGTTAAAGTATCTAGAAGCAGTGTTTTGCAAAAAAGTCAGTTCTCTTTAAAAAACATTGTTACGATAGAAACTTCCACCTGTAATTGGCATGTAAAAAAGCATCCACCTGTAATTGGTGTAGAGTATTTAAGCACAGCCAACTTGAAACTTTGCTGTTGTTAAAACCAATTATCCACGTTCTTGTGAGTTTTGCGACACTTTACAAACTTCATTTTATCTATTTATTGCATTATCGGGCTTACAACGCCCAATATCCGCCCCCAATGGGATTTAGCAACATCGCAAAATATATGGCAAAAGTTTGAACTTCCATGGTTCATCAACTTATTTAAATTCCATTATCTTATCCGATTTCCGTGCATTTCAAAAACTTCGAAGCGCGGCGTTTTCGAGCGCGAATAACTTGGATGGCAGCTAGAAGCAGAAGTTGGCAATAAAACTTTATTTACCTAGCGAGTAAAAATGAGGTTGCCAGTCGGATAGTATCCTTGGCGAAGATTCAATAGGGACAATCACCGAGTTAACTGACTTCTCTTAAACAAATAAGAAGTTTGAAAGTGCTCTGGAGCGGAAGCCTTTAAACTCATTAAAGTTAGTCGACTTACCATTTTGCAGTAATTCAAGATGTCCATCTTGTCCTTGAGGCAGGAGGCCTTCGATCGAAGATCGGAGGCCCATTCACCTTGCTCAGTCATATATTTAGGCTGGTAAGCTTCCTGCCCCCTATTGCTGACATCGCACAAAATGGCTACTTGGGGCTCAAAGTGAGACACTGAACCAGTTGAGCTCAAATTGGGGTCGATACCCTGAAACCAAAAGAAAAAAAATAAATTTCCAGCTCGGCAAATACCTCAACTGAGAACAATTCCCTCTTAAATACTCCAGCTCTCAATTAGTCCGAGCTATTTCTTAATGCATTGTCTTATACGCAAACTTCATCATTTGTATCTAACTGAAACCCAAATTTATTTTGTGCTTCGTTAAACAGCGGCCCATTATTTCAGTTCCTTCAGTTTGGGCCAGTTTGCAGTTTTAATACCTTTACCCGACAGTTTCCACGCCTTCCGCCTAATTACTGGTTTCAGAGCGAGTTAATTAACACTTTTGGCGAGAGTCGTATCGGGGCTATTTCGTGAAAATCCTCTTTCATTTCCCCTTTGATTACTGGGCAGCAAGTTCTGGAAAAGCACCAAAAAGCAGTTTCATTTACACTTCAGAATTGATACATTTCCGCGGGTTTAAACTTCCTGAAAAATAAACGGTTGAAAATTAGTTTTTGTTATTCAAAATACGTGATCGATTGTAAGAATATTCTGGGGCTTAGAAATTTTCGAGTTTTTAACAGGAATATTAACAAGTCTGCTGACTTTTTATGTTTACAATTTTACGTTTTTTGTCCTTTCGGTTGAACAAATTATTTGAGGACAAAATTGTTGCGTCTTTCCTGTTAGTCTGAATATTTTAATAGTCTACCTTTCCTCTTTAACTGGCTTTATTCTACTATTTTGTTTCAACCAGTCGATTGCCATCTAACTACTTTTGGCAATTGAAACAATTTGGTTTTTTCTTATTCCTCCACATGAATAAAAGACAATTCTTTCTTACACAGGAACCTATTCTGCTTGTAGGTCTTCTGACCAATTAAGAATTGTTTTAACATTAATAGAATTTAAAATACAGATACGTTTCTCAACATAATTCACGAAAAATTTATACTTTGTAAACAAGATTGTAGTTAAATTTTGAGATTTTTTTGTTGTTTAGTTTTAAAAAAAAAACAGTAAAGTTCATGTTTTTAAAAATGAAAATACAAAAACTTCAACTTCTAAATCAATTCATGGCTTTTCCTAAGCGTTTTAGTTAAGTTCGTTTCATTTCTTAAAACATTAACTCTGTTATTTCTAGCTTAGTTTAGAAATTTCATAGCAATTTTTGTTTTACTTTTTCTTACGTTCTACAAACTCCCTTTGATCTTCACATGTCACGATTTTTCTGGAGAACATTTTTTTACGGTATGATTGTGTATCTTTTGCCGCTTTGTTTGTCAATAGGCGCTTTAAACAGCTACTAAAAGCATACAATATCCGCTTACAATTGTAGCATTTTCAACTATAATTTACTATACTTACCTGTCGGTTATTTAGCCATTATTGCTTGATCTTTAATACGGTTTTAACATTTGCTTTACTACTTTTACTACTACCAAATTTTTGTTATTTTTTACACAGTCCAAGCAGTAGTTTATTTTTACTCTTTTGCAGAAAATCTTGCCTGATTCTGTTCTTGAACAGCTCAGGAATTTTGGGTTAAAAAATCGTGACAAATATGAAAGGTGATTTAAAGTTTAAAATTATTTGTGTATGATGCTCGCTCGCAATTCAACAATATTTCTATAATAAAATAACTAACAAAAATCGAGGAACAAGAAAATATATAAGTCGCTAAATGTGTTTCGGAAAAACTTGTGATATGTTTTTCGCAAAGAAAGCAGTGTACCACTTAAGCCTTTAAAAATATAATTTATTTTGCAATAATTTTTTTCCAGATCAGCAATAATCTTGTGTTTGGTGAATATAATAGCGAGAGCACTAACGAGAAGAAAATATCGCATTAATAAACACTGTAATTTTGTTTACTGTTTTGTTTAACGGACTTAATAAATAAATTGGGCAGCATTTAATAATGGGTCGGCTCAAACGTGAAGCTCAATCTGGATTAGAGGAATCATGAAAAACCTCCAACCAGTATTCAAAAAATGYATCATTTAAATCCGCATGAAACTGCATTGCAATGGCGCAAATATTTTGCTCTTGAAGTGGGTAAAAACCTCCATATTTGCGCATTAGAATTTGAAATACTCTGGCAGGCACATTGAGGTTTGAAACTGAATGAAAATTGGTCAGACTCATCAACTGGCACGTTAACATTCAATTTTAATTCGCTTTTCAAAGCGAAACGTCCCATTAAGCTTCGCCATGATGTCGCAAAATCAGTTGTTATTTGGATGACAAAATTAATTAATTTTCGCCTGTTTCGTAACGCATGCTGATTCCAAAGCTCGACATTGAGTTTCAGATCGTATCTAAATATTTAAAGCCAGCAGCCGAATGTAAAAGATCACGGGGTGAGGTTCTCATTCCCCATGATTACTTAAGCGTATTGCTGCTCTATTGGTTTTCAGCTCCACATGTGTAATCCAATGGGAATATTGGAAAATACATATTGGTTTAAGTGGAAATATCCTCTTGACATTATTAACTATTTAAGCACTTTAAAGCGCTTTTGTAGCTGCGTTTGACTGCTTGAGAAAATATTTAATGTTCGCGTTAAGTCTTAATTTAAGAAGGGATAATCTTGGGGGTTGGAGAGTAAAGAGAAAGTATAAAAAAAGTACATTGTGTCGCTATTTTTTGTAGATATTAGCAGGAAAAATGACAAATTTTTACAACATCCTCGTTAGCCTGGGTTCCCTAATATTCACCATTCGACAGCAGCTCGAACAATGAAGGACTAGTATTCAAATCTGCTCACAATTATGTACTAAAAGTGTTTCTTTCCCTAAGAAATACATTGGAGTAATTCATTGAACTTGTTTAAAATTGCCGATTAGCTTCATAATTTATATTCATACGATAGCCATTGATTTATAGTCCCTATGTCTAGTCGAGTCTTTCTGCTTTCGATTTTCATTAATTTGCTGATGTTCTGCTTAAAACACTCATTGATCATTCAGCTTAAAAAGCCGCTATAAATGCTTAACGCGAAATTAATTAACATCAACTCAAGAATGATTGACGATCTTTCTTTCAGCATAAAGCGGCCATCTTACGGGGTCGTTCACATCGCGATTCCAAGAAAGAGCGAATACATTCTTGCGTTTCAATCAGCTCCCAAATCCATCACCGCGTAATCGCATCAAACCGGTCAATCTCCCGATTGCCAGCATTCCCTCTAAGTTAATGAAAGCTTTAACGCTAGCAATCAAACTCGAAATTAAACAGGTTTTGGACCTTATACTAATATCTGCAAAGCGTCAATTAAACCCTCCTAAAAGCTGGTAATTATGCGAATGGGCGTGTTCAGCGACGGCGAAGAGATATTAAAACTGCAAATGGGGGCCTGACCCCTGAAGAAATAAGGGTAATGAGTTCAGACCCGACAAAAGGCCAAAGTGGTTTGGTTTCAAGCCGTTGTGATGTGAGCAACTGACTGGAAATCTACTAATAAAAACGTTTTTCGGATGAATTTCAATGTGAAAACTGTGTCATTTTCATTTATCGCTTGTCCAAAATTGATGCATGCGGACAAACATGAAATTACGAAGGAAAACAATCACAGCGAGGTCCGGTTTTGATGCATGCCCTGAAAGTTCCAGTTAGAGTTCCTCTGTGAGAAAAACTCAAAACTTATTGTAGATAAGTTCTATATTGTTGAGGCGGATTCATTTTTTTACAAACTTCTTTTTGGGTATTTCGCTTCAAAAATTTTTGTCTTTAAAAAAGACAGCATTTCCTCACGTCTTTTATTACAGATTGATAAATAGTGCTCCTTTTTCGCAATAAAAACTAATTATTTATCAAAAAGTAATCAAGAACTATCACCTAGAGGGTATCCTGCGACACACTTAGGCTCAAGCTGTAAGAGAAAATTCCAATTAGTA